TCCGCAAACCCTTCCCCCACCCATTTGGCACAGTGAAAAAAAAAAACACCCCCCCCCCCCCCCCCCCCCCCAACCAAACAGAAAACCCCAAGTAAGTCCCTCAGAAAACCTATTACGCAAGGAAAAAAGAAGGTTCGGCAAATATTGCATATTGTTAAAAACTGTTAAAAGTGAGAGAGTAAAGTTAAAGCAAGTCTTTGGTTCTCCTGAGGCTGTGATACTAAATTATTGCATTGTGCCTTTCACCAGATTTCATGTATTTGAAGAGACAAACAGCCACAGTATGACAAATTCTGACACTACAACAGCAAAAGGTAATTCTATTACTAACTTGGTGGCTAATGTGTCAAACGTTGACATTTTTCCTTTATATTTTAAATTGCTTTTACTAGGTTTTTCGATGTAACTCAAGGCCTCACCATCGTAAGAGACAAACATTACCTATAATAAAGCATTATTAACTGCATAGTTCTTCACTTTCTGATAGTAAAAGGGCTAATGCTTTTAGTGCCACCAATGAAGTAAGCCTTCACTGCTTTCATGCTGGATGCCTTTCTTGTGTCAGCTAGAATAGAAAACTGCCAAAGTAAGACTTTATGCACCTCATGAAATAAAGAGTAAAGACAATGTGTAAACAACAATAAAGAGAACAGAAAAACATTAGGAAAGGAGAAATTCTAGACAGATGGATGAATAAAATTAAGTGATGCTATGATACACATGACTTCCTCCTATCATAAAGTATTATTATACTGCCTTTTTATATAAAGCCAATTTAAATTCCTCAGCAACAGGAAATTTCAGGTCTGCTTTGATACCAGGTGCTACACACAAAATGCAGACTACGTGCATAGCCGTCTCCGAATTTCAGTAATTTGCAGTGTCTCAGAGACTTCACCAGACCTCCTCTGGTTTGGTAATTCAGCAGCGGGCTACTCCACACCACGCACGTCAGAGAGATCAAAGCACACGGCTACCACTAGTTTGCAAGCTTTGAGGCTGGGCTTTCATCAGAGCCTATGTGAGTTACAGCTCTTCTGATATGAATGAGGTTGCTGAGCAACTCACTTAAGCCCTGTAGAAATCCCAGATTGGAGTTTTATTTTTAGCTAAATGTAGCCCTGTAAAGTGGCTGGTTCACGATGTTTCTGCCACTGAACGTGTACGTGGTGAGGTAAGGCACAGCAGCCTCTCCTCCCATGCTAGGTACGCCAGGCAGTATTTGCCAAAAGATACAATCACAATGTAGGCAGAAAGAGATTTTTTTGTCCCAAAACAGGCACAAAAAAGAATTGAAGAAAAATGCTTACTATTAAAACAGTTTTTATATCAAGACCTAGAATAGCTGAGCCTGCGCCATGTGCCATGCTACGGGGGAAATAACTGCTAAATAGAGTTTTGGACATCTGCTGGTTTACAACAGCTTTTCAATATTTTATTGAGAAGTTTAAAAATGCAAAGAAAAAATCAGAAAGGTAGGAAAACCCTATGAGATAGCTATTACTTTTATCAGTATTTTTCAGAAAAAGATAATTTTTCAATCAAATCTCATAAAAGTAATTGAAAGAGTCTTTTTACAACAAATTCACAATACTAAGGAAATATGCACCAGAGGAATGATGTACCTCTGTAAAGTCTATCAGCATGTTTTAGATTTTCACTTTAAAATAACATTTGTTGATAAAAGAAATTTTTGTGATTTATTTTTAATAAAAATATTTACGTTCTCATGTAGAAGCAAGCAAATCGGAAAAAATAACTATTCAATCCACTTTCATCCACACTGTAGACTGATTTCTTTAGCAACAAACGTATGAGCTCTGTGCTTATGATGTTACCTGGTCATATTGCAGTGCTTTGTGGGACACACTTGCATACTGAAGGCTCAGGCTATTCTTTTCTTGCACAGCATCCTTCAGTTCATTTTCCTAAAACACAAGTGAAGAGCGTTACAGACCATTTATCTCCATTACAGTACATCCTATTAAGTACTTAAGGAAGCAATGTTTTTGCATTATTTGGTATTAACAACCTATTAAGAGTAATATCAGGCATGGAGCCAAAACACTGAAGGTGCAGAAGCCGCAGATTAGCTTGCAATTACAGTTGGCTCTATCATAAACCCACATGTGTTCAGTAAAAGATCTGGTTAAAGATGTGCAGGCAAAGAAAGATGACCTGACTTGACAGGCCTGCTGTCTATAAAAATAATAATTTAAAAAGATCTCCCTGCAGATGTAAAGACCTGGGAAGAGAAAGAGACTTGGCTCCCAGAAATAAAGTAATGCAATCAAACTTCGGTTTTCAAAAGGCATTTTGAGGGCAAAACACAACAACTGGAACATATAGTCATGTAAACATTTTTACAGTGTATATCCACTTACAATATATGTATACACATTCCAATACAAATATTTTTAGAACCTGGATAGAGCATCTACATGCTACAGCAGCAGGCAAATCAGAAATGCAGATGGATTTCGAAAGGTAAGTAACCTGTGTGTAAAGATCAGGGCATTAACTACAGCCTCAGGAATGTATTTTTATTTATTTAGCACTATAAGGAAGGAAAAAGGAAAAGTAAATAAAACTCAAATATACAGTCAAAAGTCAAACTAGAGAGGTAGAAATGGTTTGTCAGGTCACACAAAACAAAATACCTGCAGCTCAGGAAAAACCAGCAGCATCCTGCTTTCTGACAGTTTCTTTTTTGCACAAGTTCACAAAGGCAGTTGTCTGAGATTAAATCTTAAATTCAATTCCTTATGAAAGTTGCAACCAGTCATGCTGGCAATCTGTAATCTTTCCACCCTACAGTATGCATTACACTTTATCTTCTGAAAACATGGGTTATATTAGACAGAAACTATACTAAGGTGGGCACTTTTTCGGTCCACTTTTGAGTGATATGAAATAATTTATGATTTTCATAGAATTAATAGAATTTCACAGATTTCATTTTGCACCATTAAAATCCACACCATCGGTAGATTTCTCTACTAATGCTGCTGAGGTCTTAAGAAAAACTGGTCAAGTAATGCATTACCAACATTTCTCTTTATAATTCTCAATATGAAAAAAATTAAATTGCCATTTTTTTTATTTACTAATGTAAGGTCTAAAAAAGGTGTTTAAGGATTCTGATATTTAAAGGTTTTTCATACTACTTGAACCAAAAAATTTATGATTTTAAGCATATCTTTCTTAAATCAATTTCAAAACTCTCTGAACACAAGATCCATGTTTTGAATAAAAAACTAGTGTGTTCAATGAAGAAAAGTTGTTAAATTGTTTATCTAAATTGTTTCCTAAGCTTCATTACCTGAGCATCAGAACTAATGAAGCTTACAGATTTCTGCCTTGGCTACTTGACTGGTATCTAAGAAGGCGTGAAATCCAAATCTGATTGAAACTAACCATTGAGTTCAAAATTTATAGGGTCAGCTAAACAAGCAGTATGATTAGGTGATTTTTTTTTTCTACAGAAAATGAGAATCAAATGTCATTTTTATAAAACATTTCACACTGAAAAGACCATTCTGAGTAACAGGGATTTTAACATACCAATTAATTCTACAGAAGATACTGCATGTCTGCCCACACCTGGAATGCCAGTATGATAGTTAAATTTGAACATAAAAGGGGACAGTGAAAATTAGTTCAGCTTAAGTAATGACATGTTACAGCCCCATCATTGTGCAACATCAGAACATCGCATCATCTGTGGGAAGCTACTCTCTTGACTAAGCATTCAGTGCTATTGCACTGAACTAAACTAAGACAACAAACAGCAGAATATTCAGAGTCTCCTGATTGCAGATACACCTATCATCTTGCACATAAGGAGCTCAGCAATTATAATTTCTCAAGTCTGTTAAATCTGTTGCTCAGGGTGCAATTAGATGTGGCAGTCAGGCTCTGTGAGACGCTAGACAGTTCTGAGGGCCAAAACGAGAAGAATTTCTTCGCTCGCATTACGTCTTCAAAGGTGTGAATTAAATCAGTAAATATTTTTATAATATCAACAAACTGCACAGAACAGTTCCTTGAATATGCAAATAAATAACTGCATCCTATTAATTGCTGAAAGTCACTTGTAAAGCATCGTCTGTCTATTCTGCACTTTACAAGATGAAAATAAGCAACACTACCAGCTGTGAAACCCTTACAACTGCAGGCTTTTGTCAAACTGGATTTGACATTGACTTTAATGGATCAATTTGCATTTGTTACAAATCAATACTGCTCAGCTGACTTTAATTGGGAACAAGTGACAATGAGTTACCAGGTTTTAATAATGTCATCAAAAGGAATTCAAGCATAAATGGGGGGAGGGGAGAGAAGGAGAGGAGGAGTAATTGATGGCAATCTAGGCCAGCATCTTTCACACCCTACTTAAATTCTCCAGAGTGGAAAACAGTTTACGAGAAATGCCACAGCAACCGGGCTGGCTGTTAGTCCTACCTGAAGAAAACACATTTTTATCTGTTATTTGCAAGGATGAGCGGAAGTAGGGCAGTAACTATCCCAGTTTTATTGCTCCTTAGTTATAAGCCTTTTTCTTTTCACTTATATCCCTGTTCATCCTCATTGTGATTTCCCTCAGTAGTCTTTGGCATTTGCCAGGATAAAGCACCACCCATGTTCCCCACCCCAACCAAGTCCATAAAGATTAAGAATCACCTGAAACAGTAACAGGAATTACTGGCACACCTCTAGCCTAGAAATACCCAGCAACTACAACTCAGGTGCTAAGTTTTCACTTGCAGTACTTGCAATTAGGATATGATGTATTTGTATATGTTATTGGTGTAAGTGCCATAAATACATGTACACTTATAATATTTAGATTGCTTGCTCTCAGAAAATGCATTAAGGAGCAAATAACAAATGACTTAAAAGTCTCAGAGCAATAACATGGCCAGAAAACGAACGAAAGTCTTGTAAATTTTGGCCATGTTCCTTTACTGGACTATGTCTTCTGGAAATGATCCAGGTCATAATTACTGTCAACTCAGAAATTCCCACAATATTAGTTTCAATCATTTGCTGACTTGAGTCATTTCTCAACAACAATGAACCCTTACAACATGGGCTCTGACAGAGTAATTCTGGCAGATTCAGCTGCAATCGTTTCGCTGCTGCCCAGTATTAGCAGTCGTGTCCCTGAACGTAACCTGTGAGGTGGTTACCTGAGGTGGCACCTGCTGCTGCCCGGAGGGGAACAGAGGCCAGTTCCTGTGGAGTACACCTGAACAGTCCTTCAGCAAACTTCTAAGTTCCTCATGACCAGTTTCTCCAGCACCGCAGGCTAGTTCCTGGGGAGTACACATGGACAGTCCTTCAGCAAACTTCTCTCGAAGTTCCTCATGACCAGTTTCTCCAGCACCGAACATTTCCAGATGCTAACTTTTACTTGGAGAAAGACACTTACTGTACTGTTTCCAAAAGCTTTTACTTGGAGAAAGACACTTACTGTACTCATTAGACATTTTCTCACCATCTCCTGTTCTCTTGAGGCTCTAAAATACCACCTGATTTTTGCAAATGATAGTTATGCAGCACTGCAGTTTGTGATTTTCTGTCTAATGCACCGACTTCAGTGATTTGGTCCCTTAACAATATCCACCTCAATATTTTCCAGATCAATTAAATATAAACCTTCAATAAAAAAAGATCAAAGTTAATCTCAGCTACCCTAGAACTGAACTCCACCAAAGAGGCAATTCATACATTAAAAAAGGTAAGTCACGTAGAGGAAAATCACATTTTTACTGTTTTCTTCCAGGTACAAACCAGAAATCTCAAATTTCTGGTATAAATTCTTATTGGCTCACAGTTAGTCTCTGAAAGTTGCTAGTTCATGGCTGGTCCTCTCCGAAGTGCCTTCATACCACCCTGGTGAATATGCTCATTAGACTGGGGCCAGACTGGCACACTATAGTGTGTTTTTCATCTGGAGGGGAATCCAAAACATTTGATTCTTATTTTACTATCTTGTGACTTGTCTTCATTAGAATCTTATGGTTGGATCCTGAAAGAGCTTTGAAACTTCAAGCACATTTTAAGGGAGACAGATGCCTTTGGAAAATCCCAGCTATGTTTCTTCTTGCACAACAAGGCTAGGCTTCCTTAAGATGCTATACTGAAATAAATAAGAGTATTTTTCCATTCTCTCTACTTGGCAGTTAGCACTGAATGCATTAACAACAGGGCAACACTTCCCACTTCAGCTCTTCCAACTGCCAATTCCAAACAGAACCTCCAAGTCAACAGAAAGAAGAGGTCAGCAAATACATAGGGCAGCCATCACGAATGACAGACTCACTGGCACAAGGCTGGGTACGTGCTTCGTGCCTCCAGCTTGCCTGAGAATGCTAGGGATCCTCCTACAGCCTTCCTCACTCTCCATTTAATAACACTTCCGAATTCTAAAAGGAACACGCAAAGAGGCATCACTCTGTTACTGCTTGGACCTAAGAGGAAATTTTGTGGGATTTCAATATTGATTTCAAAGCTTGATGTGATTCAGGTCTTTAAACTTCTTGAAAATAAATCAGTACCAGTCCAAAAAACAAACCTGTGGAAAGCATTACCATGCGCTCTTCCCTCACCCTTTGTAGTTCTTTAAACAAATAGCTTTTGACTTCTTTTTACAAATTTAATGAGAGTTTTGTCCTTTTTCCCCTGCTGCCCTCTTTCCTGTTCTTTCACTGTATGTAACATTTCTGGCAATTAAATTGTGTCTAAGAAGCAACGTTTTAGTAGAGTCAAATGAGGTCTATCATTTAACCTATGCAAATATCAATCCACTGCAGCTGTTAATAAGGACAAGTAGAGTAAAGATTAAGAACTCACCAAGCCAGTTAGTCCAAGACACAATAGAAAGGCAACTGCTGACTAAATATTAAAAGACTACTGTGCAAGT